CCTCAGACACGTTCGGCATGGAACCTGCATCTCAGTGTTGCGATCTAACGCACGACCAGTCAGCTCAAATCTTACAAGAGCAATTAATAGCTCTTGACTTCTGCCCATGACGAACAACGCGCGTGTCGTATACCGCTGCAGCCAGTGTGAAGTTCAGATGGTCGTGACCGGAACGCTTAGACCGACGGGCAACTGATTTCACCCCAAGTTTTCCAATGTTTCAGCATCACAGACAAAGACGACGCTTTTCGCCACGATGTAATCTTCAGCGGTGTGCTCTGTATCGCACTTGATTCAGGCACCGTCAATGCATCCTCCTTTGTACGTGTCGCCTCAACTCCTCGGGCCCTACCGTCGGTACTCCCAAAAGGCGCATCTGCATCTTCTGTCTGGCGCCTCTGCGTTGACTTATCAGTGCCACTCACCTAGTCGAGGAATCGGTGTTGTCTTGGCAGTCAGTGTTCCTTAGGCCCGACCAAAGGTGTCAGACGTAAGAAAAGCATGATAGCGCAACGCTGGCAATGCAGCACATGCGTGTCTCGAACGTCTTATCAGATGCCAAACGGCGAATTCTTTCACCTCACTGACGAGTCCCTTCAAGACACTGTTGTCCGTCTCAAGCCTTGTGCCCCCTGTAAGGAGCCTAGACGCCTTCTTAGTAAAGCTTGGCCGACGCCAGGACCACTGCAGTCTCCGGGGGCGCCCAGCTAATGCAATTGGAAACCAATAAAACGCTTCTTGCTCTACCAATTTCCACCAGTCGAGCGAAGATAGCTTGCAGAGAACGTTGCGCTGGCTTCCATGGCTCAAAGACGATGAGCCTTCCATTAACTGGAAGGGTTCCAGACGTGCAACAAGCTACTGTAAGAAGACGTAGGACCCGGTGTCACTTACTTGTGAGATACGTGTAAAGGAAGCGAAGCCGATTGATCCGTCGCTAACAGCCCGACAGTACGAGAATTTAGTCTTTTTACGGTGCGTCTGGGGATTTGATGGCCAGCGCCCAGGGATGCTGATTCGACAGATGACGCTGACCGAAGGTGAGTGCCGCAAACTCCGGACACACCACCACCAATCCCCCGTCGATGACGGCGACGAGAACGGCTTGGCTCCCGTTAATTCGGCCATTGTTAGTATGGCCTTGCCCCCTATTCTCGGGACTATGGCCATTGTCCAGACCTGCGCCTCCGTGTCAATCATCATCACAACCGGCACTTGTTTGTCCTTCTCGCCCGTACGCTTTGAGAGTTCGGCGCGTCGGCTGGGGTGGTGGTCGATTCGGCAAACCACTCGTCATGCAAAATCCTCATGTGCTGGCAGGCGACCCACCGAAAATACATTGAAGCAGCAAGCTCGAAATGCTAGGGAAAAAGGAATGTTGCGAAGGCTGGATGATTATTAAGAAGGACCCTGTAACAACTAGGATCATGCCATCATCATCCTCATCGCAGCATGCGTTCTTTCGGGTGCTGGTGGACCCTGAACGGCCTTACACAAACCAGCCGACCTTCTTATCGTCGTTGGAGGGGATCGTCGCCAGATCTCAGTGGCTGGCGCCGAACACACACCACGAGTCTCTCAGCGGGAATGCCGGGAACTCGTGGTCAGCTATCGCAACATGCCGACACCCGCAAGCTTAATCTTTTGCACACCATCTGACCATTCCCGTGCGCTGCGGGTAAAAAGAGACAAAACCCGTTTTCTGCCCACAAGTTCCTGACGATGAAATGATACGACCCAAGCTTCGATCCCGGAGAAAGTGATGTCAGGCCACGAGCAGTCTGGAGGCTCCCGAGCTTCTCCTTCGTCGCGGGTTCATCGCGGGAATGCAGATGCCATCATATGCGGTGTTGGCTGTCTCTCGCAGGGCACAACTGGCGCGAGGGGCTATGCAAGCCATTTGTGATAATATTCATGGTCGACCTACATGTCCCGATGTCGAATTGCAAATCGTGCCTCCAAAATCGCAAATCACAGATCTTGGCTGCTCCCACTGCCGAACACCGGCGTCCAATAGACTTCGCCGTGTCTTGCCCTTCCCGCCGCCGGCACTCTGTCTTGACGCAACCGTGATTGCTTCACAGAAAGGATACACTGGCGCGCGCGAGAGCGCGCAGGCGACCTGTCAACCCGGCCATGCGTGGGTTATGTGGGGGAACCGTGTTCGAAACATAATAACACCCCCGGTCGTGTGAGGGCGACGGGGTTTCACGGTGCCATTATTACGGTTTTTTTTTGCTGCTCTGCAGTCTGCAGCAAAAAAGAACAGGACTGGTTCAAGACTTGCCATCAGCCAATTGGTCGTCGGCCGGAATGGATGAGATCATTTTCGATGGAACCCCCGACTCCTTTGTGCGCACACTGCGGGCCCCTGGTCCCCTCCGCAAACCCTGGCTGGTGCTGTCGATCTTCGACGCCGCGCCATCCGGGGAGCGGGCTGGACTTTGCTGGAATCAAGCTTCCCAGCGCAAGCCCCTGCGATAACGGCGGGCGGCGGGCAACACGGCAAAGGGCGAGGATGGTCTACGCCCGGACGGTCAGACTTTGGAACTACGCGCCGCCCGACGGAGACGGTTTAGTTTCGCTGTCAGAATGGGACACTTGCTGCTGTCAACTCAGGAAGTTTGATGTGAGGAATCTGGACAAGAATTCTTTCCGGTCCTTCCAGATTGCACGACATGGCGCAGTTCTTTTTTTCCACATCTCTGGTCGTGTGCGACGACGAAGACGATGGTTGGTACGGAGGTGTGGAGCGATGAGGAGGTCCTCTTGGCCCCGTTCCCAGCCTCTCTTGGCCGAGGGCTGGGCGGGCCAGTCATTCAATCAACCCGAAGTCCGGTTACGCGTCCGAATCCTGGGCCTCCGCTTCCGTGCCTGTCTCCTTCCTTTGCGTTCCTTTCCCCACCGGCCAGCGGTTAAACAGCCCGCGGGAGGGTTGTGCTTCTGGGCGTCCGGAGAGAAGTGCGGCAGCAAAGATACTTCGTAGGCGGCTACGATGAAAGGAAGAGGGGCGGAAAAGGCCATGTTACGCGTGGGGCGACTGGCACGCGAGACTGCGCATTGCTTGCTTCCTATGTGGCATCCTTGCCAATAACGTGTCTGAGAAGAGCGGGAAGACCTCGCAGGGCTCATTTGCGGAAAGTCTTCATGGTCCGCAGGGAGGGTGGCCCCTGGGATAAGAATTTCGTTCGCGAGAACCTCTTAGCCTGTGTCGTGCAATCTAAAATCTGCCCAGACAGGCTTTGGGTTTGTCTGCGAAATACACGAGCTGCACACATGCACGTCTAGCTCGTGTGGCTGATCTATTGTTTCAACTGCGACACCAAGCTTTTTTCAGGTGAAGAAGCTTATGTACAGCGTCGGCCCTCCCTTGGGTCCAAAGTCATGGGGGACCCTCCGACATCAGAGAAGATGGTTTTTTTTACTCGGGTTATCAGGGGGTCAGTGCTGTTCAATTACTCGAGTCCGGAAGGGCCAAGCATTCCTGTCAAGTGTCATAGTTATTGAGGTGGCCTGCGCGGACGCGGCCGGCTCCGGAACGGAGGGTGTCCCGTGCTAGAGAGGCCCGACGGAAGAGGACCCTTCCGCGAGCTGCGCCGGATGGGGCCCCGTCGATCCTTAGTCTCTATTGTATTGTTGAATTTCAGATATATTCGGTGATCATGCCCCCTGAAGTTGGCAACGACACCCTCGCCGCCGGGTTCTCTGGACATCTCGATCGTAATTTCGAGTGGTCGCAAGCTGCTGGGGTTGAACTCAGACGAGCTCTTTGCGACTTATACGACCCATTCGGGAGTATAAGGGGGTCAAGCATGATGCGATGCAGGCCGCCTTGTACCCAAAGGATTGACTGTGTATAGACAGACTGCGGTATGCAATTCTACTTAGGTTGCAGAACGGCGCCTGGAGACGAGAGCCGGCTTCGCTTCGACTGACACTACTCCGTGATCCAGAACTTGGCGAGTTAAGAACTCGTTCTCCAAATGCCATGTATCACAGTAACGAAACCGAGGAATGACAGCTATCAACCAGTCTCAGACCTAGGTCATTGTTTGCCAACTAAACACCGAAGCTGTATGTACTTTGTGAAGTGTCAACCCGCGCCTACCCAGGCAAACACGAAGTCGTTCCGTGTCTAGTTACGGGGCTCGGGCGTGCATTCGACAACCCGGCGAAAACGTACGTCGAGTTTATATAAGCATTCAGGCCATAACCAGACTCACTACCCAACTAGATGGTGCTTGTCCTATGCCCAAGCGGCCGCCGTACTTGAGAACGGATAACAGCCTCAAACCAACAAAACTGCCAAAAAGACATACAACACCAGGCATTCGCCGGTCGTCACCGACCCGACTACTACTCCGGCTCTCATCGGCTTGTCTCTGGGAGAGCGGACGGGATCCCGAATTTTCCGATGGATATGGTCGTATGTGACGTTGTCGTGGCAGGCGACAGATTATGAACGAACGTTGGCAGACCCAGTGGCTGGCGTTGGGCTTGTGCGGAAAGCCAATTGCCAAAGTTTGGTTCGACAGATCCGAGATATGCAAAGGTGATATTGCGATCCATACTGGGCATTCACCACGTGAGATGTAATGAGAAAGCGATGGCAAGATCATGGTACGTATGATAAGAAAAACCACACCGCCATGGAGGAATCAATGTCACAGGCCCGTTGATTGCTGTGCCGCACGCCAGCTGCCGCTTCTGGTATATGCTCCCCATTTACCAGGGTTTCGTCGCAGATACGTGTAGAATCCGGAAGTGGGCAAACATGGATAATTCGTCTCCAGCCGAGAAGAGGGGTAGGGCGACGTTAATCAATACCCAAGATCTCCCAGGTCGAAATCACGGCCTTGCAACATTTGATTTCCTCCTGCCCTCGATCGCACATACACGTACGTATATTGTCACAAGCGAGATCGGTGTCGAGCGACCCTTGTGTTCACTTTGCCGACAAGTTTTTAATCGGGGCTACATTCACTCGCCTGGGAAGAAAAATGTCCGACAACAACAGCCCCACTGCCGCCGCACCCACGGGAACTGAGCGACCCCAGGAGCCCGGTCAGGGAGCTGCCGCCGAGACGACCGCGGCCGGTGCGAATGAGGGCGATGTCGCTGCGGCGGCCGCAATTGCGGCTGACGAGGTGAGATGTTCCTGAATCTGTCGTGACGTGCGAACACTCTGACACGTTCGCTGTAGGATGCGGACGACAACGTATCACTGAATGGTGTGAGTGGCCAAGAAATCCGGTCCACAGAGGACAGTTCTTTTGCGAGCAGATGTTGATATCGTGGCTTCCAGGGCAGTGTCGCGCCCTCTACCTCAACCGTTGCAGAATCGATATTTGAGTCCAGGCTGGAGAATGGAAGAACTTACCACAAATACAAAGACGGGAGTATGCGCATGTCCGGGCCCTATTAGATCGAGCAACGACTGATTAAAGCAGAGTACTGGGCACCTAATGATGACACAGAGCTGGACAGACTCGGTATGCTTTCTTGGTGGGGTATCAAAATCATCGCTTACAAGACGGTAGACGTTGTACACAATCTCTATCTCCTGACTTTCGACTACGCCCTGGGAACTGCACCGCCCAATGACGAGAACTCAAAGGTCGGGCGTGTCTTGGATGCCGGCACCGGCACTGGCATATGGGCGATCGAATTCGGGGAGGGCCACACCGATGCTGAGGTGAATGAATCCCACCGCACCTCCGATACAAACAACACTAATAATCTGAAATAGGTCATTGGCGTTGACTTGTCTCCTTCTCAGCCCCAATTGTAAGAAGCCCAAAAGGTTCTCCTGCGACCAGCTTGCTGATTGCGGCTTTAGTGTCCCCTCTAATGTTCGTTTCGAGATCGACGACATCGAGGAGCCGTGGACTTTCAATGAGCCCTTCGACTATATCCACAGCCGGATGATGAAGGGTAGCATTCGTGATTGGAAAAAGTTCATCCAGAGTTGCTTCGAGTAAGTTTCCTCGGGTTTGATGCTTCTACTGGCCACTAAGCGCTCTGCTATCAGTAATCTCACTCCCGGAGGATATCTTGAGCTGAACGATATCGACTTCTTCCCGAAAACGGACGATGACACCATCCCGAAGGACAGCAAACTTATGAGGGCTTTCTCTCTCTGCTTTGAGGCGCTAGAAAAGCTCGGGTCTCCATTTGAAGAGGTCAACCATTTTGAGAGCATGCTCACAGAGATCGGGTTCGAAGACGTTAACGTGAAACGTTTTAAGTGGCCCACGAACCCTTGGCCCCAAGACAAGAAGTACAAGAAACTAGGAGAATGGAACAACGAGAATCTTTCGCCTAATCTGGATGGACTTCTCATGGCTCCATTGACGCGAGCTTTGGATATGTCCAAAGCAGAGGTTCACGTAATTGCGATGGAGGCTCGGAAAGAGCTCAACAACCCAAGTATTCACGCTTATTTCAATGGGTAAGACTCCCTCAGGCCCCTGGGCCCCCCTGCCGTGAAAGCTTTTCTGACATTGCTAGCTGGTCGATCTACGGACGGAAGCCATTGAGAACCGGGGACAGCCAACCCCCGGCTGCATGAATGGATGCGTTTATGTCGAGGATATGAGGCCATTGGGTCTTCCACTTGACCAGTATCATTTTGGGTAGTAACAAGTAATACACGGTGATTTGGCTTTGGAAAGTGGCATTGCTATATTAAGCATCAAGATAGGCCTCGCGTCTGAAGGTCCTGCGACAAGACCGCGTGTGACTTACATGAGGACTGTCCAAACTGGCACGCACCCACCATGAGACCTTTCGAATACGCGAACGTTGAACGAAGACGATCTTTGAAAGCCTCGGTACCTAGGTGAGGCATTTCTTCGAAGGAATGCCAAAAGCCAAAAGGCTGACCCATTCGGGCAGGTCATACTGAGTGCTCACCGCACCTCCGCCCGGGCATACAAACGGCTGTGTTCCGGCGGAGGAGGTACCCACTCTTTACCAGCCGTTCCGACAACTCGGCTCCAGTCCCCCAAAGGTCCCCCTCACAACTCTGTTCCCACTTCTCATCAGCCAACGAATCGTTTTTCAACCAACTCAAATTCAGGCGAGTTCTCGACCGCCTTCCCATCAGTTCCGAACACAGCCCCATTCCCGGGTGCGCGGAAAACGACCAGACGACTAGGACCACGGAGTCAGCAGCAGCAGAAGAAGCGCCATTTGATTTCTTTGGTTTAATCCACCCGCAGGTACACTCACTCACGCTCGCATCGCGCGGCCGACTCTACCAGCCATGCCTCCCACGAAGCTGCCGGAATCCGGCAACCCGCTGTAAGTTGTTCAACCGCCCTCTCTCTTTCTTTTGGTGTTGCCCCCCGCAAGATTTTGACTTGCGCCTCCCCTTGGCTGCATTGAGCTCCGCCGCACACCTGCCTTATCTCACTCTTGCTCCCACTCCCACCACCACTTCCACAACCGGGGACCGCTCATCCAGCGCAAGCATGGGCTGCAGGTATCGCGGTGGCTGAGCTCCACGCGTACAACGTACCCCAACCTCCAAAGGCGGGGAAGCGAAAAAGAAGGGTCTTGAGTTTACACCGACCTTGCCCATTATTGTCGCGCGCCCACGCCTCGGCAGTACCAAGAGACTAACACATCGCGTCAACAGGGTGTTTTTTGATATCACGCTTGGCGGTATGTGAAGGCCTTTCCTTATTGGGGACCACCAGCTCGGCGGTGCGGGGACGCGAAGGAGGGGAAACGGGCTCGGCGCCGGATGGACTGGCGAACCCGTCCGCCAGACACCATGTCGTGGAAGTCGTGAAGTCATGAAGCCATTCGCACATCTCGGGCACGTGGGCAACCCGCCGAGACGGACGGCCTGGGCTCGAAGGTTCTGTGCTGCATGCACTACCCGCTGCCACCGATCAGGCGGTTCGACAGGGGAGGTTCCTTCTTATCTTGACTGCTGTCATCGCCGACGAGATCGTGGCGTTGACATTCTCAGCCCCGGCTTGGCTCTTTTTGACTTTCCAGTCTCCGGCGCCCGCTCCTCATTTCTTCCCTCCCGACCCCAGTCATCCCGAGCCTGCGGGCCCACGTTTCCCGGCGGTGTTCGCTGACGTTTGTGCTGCGTAGGTGAGCCCTTGGGCCGCATCACGTTCGAGCTCTTCAACGATGTCGTGCCAAAGACGGCTGAGAACTTCCGCCAGTTCTGCACCGGCGAGTCCAAGAACGCCCAGGGCCGGCCGCAGGGCTACAAGGGCTCCAAGTTCCACCGTATAGTCAGTTACTCCCTGCACTCGTTCATGTCGAAACAGAAGTGCGATGAAGTTTGGAAACACAAAAGTGCTAACAGGTTCATGACGTGTAGATCCAGGGATTCATGTGCCAGGGCGGCGATTTCCTGAACGGCGACGGAACGGGGAGCACATGCATCTACGGCACGACCAAGTTCGCCGACGAGAACTTCAACCTGAAGCACGACCAGCCCGGTCTGCTTTCCATGGCGGTAAGTTCTCATCTTTCTTTCATCCACTCAACTTTTCCTGATTTACGCCCCTTCCAATCTGTCTCAGCCTGGGTGATTCGCGGCGACGGCCTCTCGCGACCAAGTTTCACTAACACCGAAATCCAGAACGCTGGCCCCAACACCAACGGCTCCCAATTCTTTATCACCACGGTCCCGACGCCATTCCTCGACAACAAGCACGTCGTCTTCGGCAAGGTCGTCGACGGCATGGATGTCGTCAAGATGATGGAAGCCACCAAGACGGGCTACCGCGGCAAGGACCAGCCCAACCAGGATGTGGTCATCGCCCAGTGCGGTGAGATGTAAGCGTCGTAGAGATCGAACGGGTGCTGCGAAAGTCGAGGCGTTCTGCGTGCGGGCTGTCAGGGGGGAGGAAGCAATCGAATGGAGTCACATGTTTCCCAGGGATATGCCTAATCCCATCATCCCGGCTTAGTGGGAGCCCAAGGCTGGTTTCAGATCTATTGGAGCTTTTCTAGACCTCCCACCATGTGTATTTCTGGACTGGAATTACTAAAACAGCCGCGGTAGTCGTCTGATGACAAAACATGATAATCGTGTTCGCGCCGTTGCCGATGTGATGGTTCTCTCGGTCCTGGAGCTGCGACCTCAGGCAGGCCTGGATAGCATCCAAGTTCCCATGGAGCAAGAATATGCTTCCGTGTTTAAGTCGTCGTCTTCGTCATCCAGGAGTGACAAGCGATTAGCGCTTGCCTATCCGTCCAAGTACGTGATGTTGCATGAGACAACATTGAAGTGACTCGACGAGCTCAAGCCATGACCATCGGCCAACCATCCAAGCAATCGAATCCCTATGAGAGAGTATTGTCATCTAAACCTTGATCCATCTCGCATTGATGTCAGCTTTGAGTCATCCCATCTCCATGGATCCAACTCCTGGGTTTATTCAGGTGTGGGCTTGGAAAGCAAACAGCTAGCTTGGAGCATGTCAAAGAGGTCAAGGTCAAGCTCACTTGAACTTCCTGGACACTCACATTACTGCGCATTTCCTCTCAAGGTCCAGGAGGGCGATGATTGAGTCACGGCACGTCATCACTGATATGTTAGTTACGATAACCTTGGCGTGTCACGAGGCAACAAAGAAGTGATTGTACTTGATTCCATTTGACTACCTACTGGAGCATCTAGCCCAGTGTACTGGCTTCCATCCATGAGTCCCCCGTTCATCCGAAGCCGTCCTCCAAGTTTCATCCCACGTCCCTTAAGCGTCGCGTCGAGCCACACAACCTAGAAGGGGGACACCCAAATCTGGAAAGGATCTAGAAAACAAGAAAAGATGAGGCCTCGTGGGAGACCCATATGACCAGAAACATGATAGAATCCTCGAAGAGAGACCTGAAAAGTAAAGAAAAAAAGGAAAGAGAGAGGTGGTATCATCCGAAAAGGTCAATCCCCCCTCAACGCCCCAGCACATGCCAGTACCGTTTGTATGCCCCTCCAATTGTGATGAAAAAACCTGAACCCTTTTCCGTCCCCACCCCATTCCACCTGGGGTGTATCCTGTAAAATTCAAATGCCCTTCATACTCCGTTGACCTCATGACTGTTGTCCAATTCCGTAACCGTGAATCCGGAGAGGGGGGTTGAAAGAGAAACAATGCCCTGTATCCTTTGTATGTACTGTTTGGCCGATGAAAAATGAAAGAATGCCCAAAAGTGGTATTGCGGCAAGGGTGTCGTGGAATACGTGGGGTCATAAGCGTCAATGAGTCGTGATAACGAGAAAGGAAAGAAAAGAAACCGGTCAAACCAGGACCGCAATGTGAGAAGAGAAACATTCAAGCAGGGAAGTCGTTGCTGTGAGTGAAGTCTGTTGGTGAGACTGCTGAAAGGATGGTGTGTCCCCTCCTCAAGCAAGTAACCTCCGTAGCTTAGATGCGAGGGTTGAAGTTCCAGGAGTCCTTGCCGCGGACGTGGCGACCCTTGAGGAAGGGAGTAGGGCTGACCGAAGCGGGAGCAGCGCCGTCGACGAACTTGGCAGGGTTGGCAGGGTTCTGCGAAGGAGTCGGGGTCGCCTGAGGAGCGATGGTGACAGTGAGCATCGAGTACAGAGTCACAGGAGCGGCCGTGACGGTGACGGTGCGGACCTTGTCTCCAGTGGGCGTGGGGGTAGGAGTAGGAGTGGTCGGGGCAGAGGAGGTGACAACCTTCTCAGAGCCGTTACCAGGAATGGTCGAGTTGCTGGGGATATCGTCGCCCTTGACGTCAACCTGGAACTGGTTCTGGATCTGATCCTTGACGGCGATGGCGTTGTAGTTGGGCTTCTCAGGGAAGTTGAAGGCGGCCAGGGCGTTAGCTTGCTGCTTGTTGGAGGTAGAGGCAGAGGCAGCGTTGGCGCCCTTGACGAGGGCCTCTCCCTGGACCTTGATGGTGGAGCAGCTAGAGTAGATCTCAGCGGTCGTGACATCATCAGAGGTGACGGCGCGCTTGTCGCCCTTGAAGCCGGAGGGGAAGTCGGCGAACTGGCCATTCTTGGAGTTGGCGACGGCGGAGGCCTTCAGCGTAGGCCAAGACCAGACCCAGTAGAGAGTGTACTCGGAGTTCTGGGCAACATCCTCGGGGAGCTGGACGGCCGACTGGCACCAGATATCGGCTCCCATGGGCTGGGCAGCTTGGTGAGGGAACTTTGCCTGACGGTCGGTGGAGATGGACTCGCCGTTGACCTGGTAGCACTGGCCATCGTCGTAGTTGCGGGTAGCCAAGAGCTTGCCACGGGCATCACCACCCTTGCCATCAGCAGTCCACTGGCGATGAACGTCGAAGAGGGTATCGTTGGCTCTGGGGTTAGTGGTGCCATAGACGAAGACAGTACCGCGGTTCAGAGGCTTGTTGGGGGGGTTCTCAGGCTTGGTGACGTGACCGTTCTCCTGGTAGCGGAGGGAGACATAGTCGCCGGGAGCAGCGGTCAGGTGAGGAAACTGAGCGTTCTGGGTGCCCTGAAGGTTCTGCTTGCAAAGGTTGAAGCCCTCGTTGGGGATGCGGTTGGTGAAGGCCTCGTCGTTGAAGGAGGCATCACGGCCGTGCCAGCCGTTGGAGTAGCCAGCA